ATAAAAAATTGAATCCTGTAATAAGAATGTGGCGAGCACGATAAAGGTATGCAACCTTAGCCGAGGCTAGTTTTTTTACTATCAACACTAAAATCACAAGATGAGATAGCTGAGCTTAAATTAGTCTCACAAAGATTAAATATGTTTAGTGAACTTTGCAAGAGATAAAACTCAAGAGAAGAAAGGCTACTTTGAAGAATATTAAAGAATGATAGATATTGAGAACTTGGTGATGACAATGGTTTTTTGTGTTTAATAATTTTAAGCACTTTAGTCATTTCTTAATTTGTTAAAGAACTTAACTCAGCACTGATAGTATTCAGTACGTTGTTTAATAGTCCAAGCTATTGCCTCATTACTATTAATAAACCCTAAACCATAACTAAGGGCTCCAAACGATTTTGGATGAAAAAAGTAGTTAAAAAAAATTGGTAGCTCTAAACTTTTTGTAATTCATTTTTATCAGTTTAATGTCAAAAATGAGCTTTTTTTTCTTCAATTGCTTTTTAATCAGGAATCACTAATAATTTTGCTGTTAATTGTTTTATTAAGAAAACTTGTAAATTTTTCTATTAGGACAACTTGTAAATTATCCTATTATTTAAAACTTCAAATTTGTTTTTACACTTTTAAAAGTTTTATTTATTATAGTAAATATATATATATATATATATATATATATATATATATATATATATATATATATATATATATATATATATATATATATATATATATATATATATATATATATATGTATATATGTATATATACATATATATGTATATTTACATATACAGGTATTTTTTTAATTCTTTACAATTAATATTTAGTATAAATATTGTATAAAATGTATTATATGCAATACTTAACTATTGTAGGCAATTTATGCAGATCTATTTTCTAGAGTTATTATATAAAATATCAGAGTTATTATGGTTAGTCTATGATTTTTTTTTCATCTTAAAACAAAAAACTGCACATCAAAGTCTAAAAGTTCAACTTTTTTTTTTTTTATTAAGCATCTTCGCTTCCAACAAGGCTGAAAGCAACCACTAATTAGTGCAAGCAACCACTAATTAGTGTTGGAAGTTACTGAAAGAGAAAAGATAAAGATTGTAGACCAAGATCACGATTCACAGACGACTTAAAAGATTGCAAGTTATATGAATCGGAAAAGCAAGATGAAGGAACCGAATTCCAAAGAACTGTTGTTCGAGGAAAAAACCTAGACAAATAAGAATTTTTACAGCACTTAGGAACAGTAACAGAAAAAGGATGAGACTTAATTGAATGACAAGTAACACGAGAATGAATTTTCAACAATGGCACAAGAGTCACTAGCTCTTTAGAGCAGTGCCCATTATAGTATTTGTAGAAAAGAGAAAGAGAAGCAACATTACGACAATGTTATAATAGTTGAAGGTTGGCTGCAAGAGCAGATCCAACTATGTTTACAATGGGTTTTTGCACCTTATCTGAAAGAAAAAAGTCATCAGTTAAAGATCCACCCCATTTATGGCAACAGTTTTCCTTAAAAGGTCGGATTTGAGATTTATAGAGATAGAGAATAGAATCTAGAGTAAGGAAGTGTTAAGCTCGATAAAGAGATGCAACTTTAGGAGATGCTAATTTTGAAACGGATTTGATATATGATTTTCAAGAAAGATCAGAAGTAACAGTTAATCCAAGAAGATGAAAGGTAGATGACTCATTGAGTACATTACCGTATATAAACATAGGAAGGTCTAAATTATTGTGGTATCAATTGACTGAAAAAAATTGAGTTTTATCTGTATTAAAGTTCACCAGCCACTGTGAGCCCCATGCTGTAGCAAAAGTGAGATCCTTTTCAAACTCAAATTCCCCCTCAAAGCAATCAGAGTGAGTTGGCTTCTTATCATGACAAGAATAAATGGTTGTATTATCAGCGAACAACAACAACCTTAGATGTGAGAATATCTGGAAGATCATTAATGTAAATTAAAAAGAGTATAGAGCCAAGTATTAAACCTTGAGAAACCCCTGAGGTTATAGAATAACAAGAAGAGTGGTGTCCATCAAGAACAACTTTTATACTACGATTGGAGTGGAAAGACTCAATAATCATAAAGAATTTTCCAGATATACCATAAGAAGATAGCTTATGGAGAAGACCAGCATGCCAAACTTTATCAAGCACTTTAGAAATGTCAAGAGTGATGGCCTTAACCTCTCCACCTTTGGCCTTAACCTCTCCACCATCTCCATCTAATGCACAATAAAATCGGTTATTACTGTTAGCAAATCAGCCATAGAACGAGAAGATCAAAATCCATATTGATGATCAGAAAGTAAGTTATTAGATTCAAGATAAGAAATTAAGTGTTTGTTAATTAAAGATTCAAAAACCTTGCTTATGATAGGAAGAAGACTAATGGAACAGTAGTTGGTGAATCAGATCGCTCTGCAGAGTTTTTAAAAATAAGGATAACAGATGCTGCTTTCCAGCAGGCTGGAAAACAAGATAAGCACTTGTTGAATTGTTTTGAAAGGATAGATGACAGCTCGGGAGATATAGATACTTTAGATATAGAAGCTGGAGTGATACGCATGTCAAGCAATATATCAACCTGTTTGACAGCTAAACGCAGTGGAATCAATAGAAACGCTAGTGGAATCAATAGAAGATATCTGCTAAAAGTTCTTAGCAAACAATTCAGCTTTCCCTCTAGGTGAGGTGATAAAGTCTGAACCATACAAAAGAGGTGGAATTACAGATTTGGCCCTAATATTGATACTATTAAAGATTCTCCAGAAGTCATGAGAGCCTAATTTTTGTAATGAAATACGAGGTCTCATGACCCTAGAATAGTGGGCTTTGGCATTAGACATAACCTTTTTACAATGATTCATAGCAGTAATAAATAGACTTCGGTTTTCTGGAGAATTGTTTTGCTGATAGATATGGAAGTAATGGTTTTGATTGGCAATAGCAGCAGCACTATGTGAGGAAAACCATGGAGAAGAGTGAGGCTTGACCTGGAATTGTTGAGAGGGATTAAAGGATTCCATGACAGTCTGAATCCACGAAGTTATGTAAGAAGCACAATTCTCAACAGAAAGACGAAAGATTTCTACCCAAGGGCCATCACAAAGAAAATCATGGAAAGAGTCCCAGTCAGCATTAAGGTAGTAGTAAGATGTACGATGATAGGGGGATTCTGAAGATAAAGAAGAATGAGATAATAGTTTTAGAGAGATCAAACTGTGATCAGAGACACCTAAGAGTGAATGTGGTGAAACTGAGCACTAACTAGGATGAAAAACAAAGCATAAGTTGACTAGAGAAATTAAATGATTGGGGTTGTCTGGAAAGCGAGTTAGAAAGTTGATTATTTGAGTTAGAGATGGTGAAAGGCAAAAGTTATGGGCTTTAATGCCTGCAGAATCACTAACACTAGAGCCGAGCCATTCAGTGTGATAAACATTAATGTCACTGACAAGAGCAACATTGGCTGATGGATAAAGAGAGGGCTTGGTCAATATGATCAGAAATAACATTAAAAGATCATAAAAAAACATCTTGAGATGAAGGAAATAACATTAAAAGATCATAAAAAAACATCTTGAGATGAAGGAAAGCGATAAAGAAGAAAGAGAAAGGTGATAGAGTGAAGTGGTGCTAAATGAAAGCACATAAAAGAGTAGTCTGTGTATTCAAACCTAGTTTCCCAACAAATGGGTGATTTCTTATGAATGTAAATCCCTAGGCCAAGCATGTTGTTATTGGAGTCTTTAGGAATTACAGGAGGATAATTAAGATCATAAGATGAGACAGCTGAACTCAAATTAGTCTCACAAAGAGCAAATAAATCTAGTGAACTTTGCAAGATATAAGACTCAACAGAAGAAAAGTTACTTCAAAGATCGCAAATATTAGTGAATGATAGCTTTAGAGAACTTGGTGATGAGAGTGGTTTTTTGTGTTTTGTAGTTTTTGTTACTTTATACATTTTTAAATTTGTGAAAGAACTTGACTTGAAACATAGATAGTACTCAGTACACTGTTTAATAGCCCAAGCACTTGCCTTATTTTACTATTAATAAACTCTAAGCCGTAACAAAGGGCTCCGATGTGGCCTTGACAATGCACACTAAAAGTACAAACAGGGACACCACCCATACGCAACATGGCACTGTTAGTACTTTGACATTTTTCAGCTGTTAATGGAATCAGCCACTATAAGAGCTACCACAGAGTTCGGAAAACCTGACTCAACTGAACTTAGAACCATAAAACTGAGTTTTAGAGCTGTTCCCTCATTAGGAGATAATAAAATGAGTTGCCTAGTCATAAAAACAGAGACACAAGCAAAACCCATGCATTGAGTCAAGGAGATTCAGCATTCAACATTCTAAACTGGAAACAATGTATTTAAAATTCATCTGCGCCAGCTTAATAGATTAAGACTGCAACTGCACATCAAAGTCTTATAAGGTTGATGAAAAAAGTTTCAAAGATCATAAAAATTAAATTTGTTCAATTGCTCATTCAAAGTAATATTGTTTCAATAAACCAATAGTTTTCTAATACTTTTTCAAATTGTCAATACACAAAATAACAACAAACAGTTGTGTATTTGATCATTTCTAAAAAATGTTGCACAAGCTAGAAAAAGTTTTTTTCTATCAAGAAGTACTATTGCCTTTTATCTCTATTCAGACAAGTTCAAAGCACCGCTATTTCAAAATATAGCTAATGGATGTTTTTAGTTCTTAAACTTTTATATTTTAAGTTGAAGTTGATGTTTTAATAATAGTTTAAGTTTGATTTTAAACTTTTTTTAAGTTTATATTTTAGTTAGAATTTCCAAAGCACAATAAAGTGTAAACAATGTAAAATTCCTGTAAATTTTTTGAGTTAATTACCTTTATATAGTTGTAGTTGTACTGTTTAATTATTATTGTTTAATATATTAATTATAACTGTTTAAGTTTGTAAAAAATTAAAATTTTAGGGATATCAATGTTGAGTCTTTCACCTGACATACTTTTGGCTTTGCAACAAAGAAACCCAGAATTTAACTCTCTTAAAGGAGGAGTCTTAGTTGCTCGAATTAATTCAGGGTCTCCTTCTGAAAGGTTTTATTTTTTTTTGTTTGTTTGTTTGTTTTTGTTTTAATTTGAGTTTAAAGTTATTTTATTTATTCATTTTAAGCAGTCTGATGCATTTAGAAAGAAAATCTGTTTTTTATCTTAAAATATTATTATTTTCTCAATATATATTAATCTCTTGTGATTAATACTAGGAGGGATGAAAGAGGGGAGGGGAGATCTTTATAATAGGTTGGTAGGAATTTTTTCTTAAATCTAATTTAAATGTATCATTGCCTTTAACCAAAACATTGTAGATACAGTGGCATTCTGGCTCTCAAAATCCCATGGGGGATTTTTCTAATAAGGCCTATTTATGCGGGATTTTACCATATATGCTGGATTTGATGGCCCATAAATATATAAACGCTAAGTTTTATAACGCTATTTAACTTAAGTAAACTTTGCATTATAATAAGAGCTGGTTGTTCTATTTTTATTATTGTATTATAAAAAGAGCTTATAATACAATAATAAAAATAGTATATATATACAATAATAAGTATAAAATAAGTATAACGCTATTTAACTTAAGTAAACTTTGCATTATAAAAAGAGCTTATATATACAATAATAAGTATAAAAATGATGGATTTCAAACTGAATGTAGGAAAGTTAGGTCAAATGTTTAGGAGAATGTAGAAAAGTTAGGTCGAATGTTTAGGAGAATGTAGAAAAGTTAGGTCGAATGTTTAGGAGAATGTAGAAAAGTTGAAGGGTAATTTTTGAGAATGTAGAAAAATAAATAGATAATTTTTATCATGTGATGGTTAATTGCTAAAACAATTTTTTGTGTTGAAAAGTATTTTTACCATGTTAATAATAGATATTTCAATAACAATAGATGTTTTTCAATAACAATAGATATATTTCAATAACAATAGATATTTCAGATGTTATAAATGTTTTATTGATGTTATAATTAATATATACCATGTTTCATTCTAAATAAAAGTTTGCCTGATAACTTGTTAATATAGAAATTCATTAAGTGTTAAACTTTTGTTGCAAAAAATGTGTGCAATACTATTTTATATAAAATAAGAAAGAATATACTAGATAATTTAAGTTAAAATATTGTGTTTAAAACATTTAAAAGCACAAATCAGATTCTTTTTTTCTTTCTTTTGTTGTTTAAAAAAATTTTCACACTTTAAAATCACTTTTTAAAATATCTTTTTATCTAATAACTTGGGATTTCGATTAAAAAAACAAAACCTTAATTATTCTAACAGCGATTTCTTTTGTTAGGGGAACTATACTTTTATCTAATCAAAAAGAATAATTTTTTTACTGCAGTATGGAATAGGCATAAGTCACAGGGTAAAGTATAAGCGATGATGACGTGTGCCTGCCGAGATAAATTATTTAAAAACTTTGGCATATAAAATTCGCCGAATGGTCACACACGAGCAGTGAACGCCTGAGGGAAGAAATGAAGTACATTAGAATAAAGGAGAATTATTTATTAGACAGCATATTTTGACAGTTGTCAAGACAAAAATAAAGATTAATAGAGGAATATTTAAAAATAAATAAGAAAAAAAATGAACAAAGATATACACCACCAGACAACAACTTATAAAACAAAAAACCGATCACAAAATTAAAAATATGATAACAACAATGAAAGGCATTTAATAATGGAAAAAAAACATTAATGCTAATGTGTGAACATAATTTGTGTAGTGATTAAGTAATAAACATCTCCTCAGAGTCGCGTCTATTATTACTGGCGTTTCGATGAGGATCAGCATTTATAACTAGTTTATCCTGTCAGACAAACGTCATCGCCACTTATGCTTTACCCCGCGACTTACGTCTATTCCATACTGCAGTAAAAAAGGACTCACTACAAATAGCCAAAACCCAACCAACCCCAAATTTGTAAAGCATCAATATTTTTTTTGATGATATGATATAAAAAAGGTAGATTTACTGAACAAACAAAATATTTATCTAATCAAATAGCATAATTTTTTTTACTGCAGTATGGAATAGGCATAAGTCGCAGCGTAAAGTATAAGCGATGATGGCGTTTGCCGAGATAAATTAGTTATTAGTGCTGATCCTCATCGAAACGTCAGTAATAATAGACGCCACTCTAAGGAGATGTTTATTACTTAATCAATACACATGTTAGGTTTACACATCAACATTAATGTTTTTTTTTTTCCATTCTGAGACCTTACATAATTGTATGCATACTTTTTTATTTTGTGATCTATTTTTTGTTTTATAAGTTTTTGTTTGGTGATATATTTGTTGTATATCTTCATTCATATTAGTGTTTATAAAGTGATTTATTTTTTTTATTATTGTAAGTACTGTTTAGGTGTTTTGTAAGGCTTATTTATTTTTAAATGTTTTTCTATCAATCTTTATTTTTGTCTTGACAACTGTTAAAATATGCTATGTTTGAAAAATAATTCTCTTTTTTTCTAATGTACTTTATTTCTTCCCTCAGGCGTTCACTGCTCGTGTGTGACCATACGGCAAATTTATATGCCAAAGTTTTTAAATAATTAAATAATAATAATAAATTATAGAAGAAAAATTTTCTTTTACCAAAGATAGAATTTATAGTAAAACTTTTGTGATAAGTATATTTGTTATCATTCCTTATCATTTTGATTATAATTTAATCACACTAAAAGGTCAGATTACAAAATTAAAATTTTAATTTATATATATTACATGCATATATTTGGGAAAAGATAGTTTTTCTCTTATCTTTGGCAGCCATTAGAATCGCTGACACAGGCCAAAAATTATTCCAGATTGTTGTAGAAACAATTTTCTCATTTTAGAAAAACTTTCAGATTTGTCCCACCTTAGTAAAATACTAATACTCAGCTAAATGGTGCTGAGGTCGACTTTTTGTTTTGATTTAATTTTTAACTCCAATAGAGAATTTTCTATGATTTATTATTTAAAACTAAACACAATATAATAAAAATAAAAATTTTATTTTTATTATATTGTGTTTATTATTTTTTATGAAGTAGTTGAATTTTTGTATTTTTAATTTTTAGAAGTTTTGCATTATTTTGGATTTATTTTTATAATAGAAGTTTATGTAAAGAAAAAGAATATATAGTAGAATGCCATAAATTTTTTCAAATGCAAATTAGGTTGAAATCGTCTGAATGCAAAAATTGGATTGTTGAAAAAAGTATGACAATGCCAATGTTATCTTTTTCTAAATAATCAATTACTCATATTTATAATGTTAGAAATATGAGTATGGTTCAGATGTCTACAGATTAATGTCAAATTAAAATTACTAAGACTTGTAAAAAATGGTCTTGACCGTAATAAGTATCCTATAAACATAATAGTTTAACTCACCCTGCATCTCGCTCCTGCGGCTTAGTTATGAGTTTTTACTCAAGCTGTTTTTCAAGTTGTTTCTCTCAAGTTTTACTCTAGTTGTTTCTCAAGTTTCTCTCAAGTTTTACTCAAGTTTTTTCTCTGTTTTTACTCAGTTGTTTCTCAAGCCCCAGCTTTACTTGTATAGTAAGATTCTTACTATACAAGTCAAGCTCACTGTATCAAGTTATATTTTAATGAATTGATTAAGTACTAATTGCTTGGTTATTTAGTTAGATTGCTTAGTTATTGTCTAGTTGCTGCTGTTATTGTTTTGTGTTTTATTTAATTTTTTTGTTTTAGGAGTGGTTTGTTAATTGGCGATGTCATTTTATCAATTAATGGAAAACCTGTCAAGTCTTCTAGAGATGTTTATAATGAAGTGTGCCGAGGTGCAAATCTTGTCATGCAAATTCAGAGAAAATCTCAAACTTTATCCATTAACGTTTCCCCAGAAATATCTAGTAATCTATAGTAATTTTATATGCGTGAAACTTTTTTTGATCTGACAAGAAAGTTTTTTTTGATATTATGCTATAATTGTTTTATTGACTTGTTTTTATTGGCTTTATGATCTAGGTTTTTATTGGCTTTATGACATAGTATATAGGGGCTTATCAACATTATTTGTTTTCCATTTTGTAATTAAACATGTTACAAAGTTATCTAAAAGGATGTTTTCTTTGTAGCAGTTGTTAAAAATTTATTAAGTTTTTCAAATATTTTTCAAAACATCTTTTGTGAAAAGTGGTTGTGACACATAATATGTGAAATTCAAATTTTCCTCAATTTCAATCAAAACTTATTTCAAATGTTAAAGTATTTGTTTTGTAAACAGAATTTGTTTAGTTTTTTTTTTTTTCCAATAAGAAAAAAAAAAAAAAAAAAAAGATTTGTCTTTTGTTTTGAAATTAAATAAATGTTGAAAGTAAAAAAAGGAAACCTTGACAACAACATTTATGGATATTTATATAAATAAAACCACTGAAACAGAATACTGAAACATAAATACCATTAAAACAGACTTAATCTGAGTTACTATACCACTGTCAATACCATTGAAACATGCTTTTTTATCAATAAGATAAACAACGGTATGTTGTTCATCTTATTGATAAGATACTTTATCATCTTGATAAGATACTTTATCAATATCAATTGTTAGTATGATTAACAGTGATATTGATTACTAATTGATAAAGTATCTTATCAATGTAATTGATACTTTATCATCTTATCTTATAATTATAATACTTATCATCTTATTTTATAATTTCAATAGCGAAATGATTTATTTTTTTTTTAATTTTCTAAAATAATCTTTTAATAATAGTTCCAAAATGGTTTAATCCTTAATTTTTTAAAAAATTAATTATCAATTTAAAAAATGCATTTTATATGTGCAAGTTAATCACCTGTAATAAAATATATATATAAATATATATATATAAATATATATATATATATATATATATATATATATATATATATATATATATATATATATATATATATATATATATATATATATATATATATATATATATATATATATATATATATATATATATATAGGTTGTATATATTTATATATATACCTATATTAAGTTGTTAACCTATAATAAGTTGTTAAAAAATGCTGATAATTATAATGATGTTAAAAATATGCAAAAGTCAATGTTGAAACGTCTCTTGAAGTAGTTTGAAATAATTTAAAATAATAAAAAATCTAAATTAAATTTATTCTGACTGAATTTAATAGGTGAGTGTTTGAGAAATTTAAGAAAAGAGTTTTAAAATTGCCAATAATTGTCACACTTAGTACAATAAATGTCATTACTTAATTATGTTTAGTACTTAGTACAATACATTACTTAATTATGTTTTTTTTTTTAATTTTTATACTGTCAATGTTCAATTGTTGTATTGATAACTAAATGTTTAAAATAACAATTTATTACTTAATATAATATAACTTAATATAAATATTACTTAACTTAATATAAATTATCAAGCTTGTATTTTATTCACAATTCAATAGTTCCAAAATTCTAAAATCACAAAATTAGTTGCATAAGTAGTAAAAAGATGGAAAACAGTTCAAAATTCTTTAAAAAAGTGTAAATTATGAGTCAATCACAAAGTAAAAACTTCAAATGATGTTTAAGGAATAAAACTAGATTGATAAAATTTGTGTTTTGATCTTTGAATCTATTTTTTAAGCTTGTAGCAATTAATTTTGTTTAACTTTTTAATATCGTATTGATATTAAATAAGATTTTTTATTTTTATTTTTTTATGTTTATGAAGTTTATAAGTTGTGATAAAAATGTTTATGAAACAAAGTGATGAGGTATCTTGTTGAAAAAAACATTTTGTTGATTTGTCATGTTTAAATCAAATTGAATTGCAGTGTTGAGCAATTAGTTAATCATGAGCTCACCATTGAGTACCCTCAGAAAAGGAAGAAGACTTTCTCTAAAAGCAGGGTAAATCAAGTTTCCTTTTTCATTTTAATATTTTTTTTTAATTTAATCTCTTAATTTTATTTAATCCAGACTTAATTTTTAATCTTGTGTGTGTGTAAAAGTTGTATTTAGAAAGTAAGTTTTAGAAATAAACATTAAGCTCCTAATCTATTCAAACATTTATGTAAATTAATAAAAATGCAAAAAGCTGTTTATTCTGATTCACTGTTGACATGGCTGCAAGCAACCACTTTTAGTGGTTGCTTGCAGCCATGTCAAGTTCCATTTTTTTTGACAAAAAAAGATGGCTGCAAGTTCCATCTTTTTTTGTCAGAAAAACATAAGGATGGGAGAGAGTTCCAAAGATGAGAAGTGCAAGGAAAAAAGCTAGATAAATATAATAATATTAATATTTATTATATTTATCTAGCTAATAAATATTTTTTGACCATGCAGGGACAGATAGAGAAAGAATGAGACTTTGCTGAATGATGATTCAAGCGAAAATGAGTTTTAGTTGAAGAAGCTAGACCTGGTAGCTCCTTTGAGCAGCAACCATGATAGTATTAGTAGAAAAGAGAAAAAGATGCAACTTTACGACAATGGGGAAAAAGGCTCAAGCTTTGCAAATAGAGCAGATCCAATTAAGTTTAAAATGCGTTTTTGGACCTTTTCTATTAGAGAAAGAGCATCATTAGAAGAACCAGCCCAAAGATCAGTATGCCTAAATTTTTCAAAATTTTTAGATGTGTGTATAATAAGGTTTGACTTGGAACTGACAAGAAGGAATAAAAGTATCCATTCCTGCCTGGATCTAGGAGGTTATGTAAGAGGCACATTTATTAGCTAAGAGAGAAAAGACATCAACCTAAGGACTGTCACAAAGAAAATCATGAAAAGAATCCTAGTCAGTTTTAGGGTAGTAGTAAAAATGGAGTCCAAAAAGAAAGTATGAGATGGAAGATTTAAAGAGATCACTGCATGTTCAGAACCAAAAAATCTAAAGGAGAAACTGACCACAAGCTAGGTTCAGAGACAAGGCATGAATGGGATAAAGGTAAATGGGATAAAGGTAAATGATAAAACGGGATAAAGGTAAATGATTAGAGCTTTCAGGAAAACAAGTCACTAAGTCAACTATCTGAGTAAGAGATTGAGAAATGCAGAAGTTATAGGTTTTAGTACCAGCAGTGCCAGTGACGTTGGAGCCAAACCATTCAGTGTGATGAGCTTTAAAGTCACCAATAACAACATTATTGGCAGAATTGTATATAGAGAGAGCATGGTCAATTTGATCAGTAGTTACATCTGACAACTGTATAATTGAATTATACAGTTATATAAGACGAATCCAATTATACAGTTGCGAGTGCAGTCTTGGGAAGAAGGAGAATGATAAAGTACAATGAGATAGGTGATAGAGTAAAGAGGTGCTAGGCGGAAGCATATTAAAAAACGGTCAAAAGATGTGAATCTGATTTCACAACAAATAGGTCAATTGATGTGTATGTATACTCCCAAGCCAATCATATGACTATTAGCGTCTTTGCAAATCATAGGATGGTACCCATCAACACTGAAATCTGAAAAGAGAATAGTAGAATTTAAACTGGTCTCACTAAGGGCAAGCAGGTCCGATGACTTTTTCAAGAGATAAGGTTCAACTGATGGAAGCTTGCTTCGCAGACCACCAATTTTTGTAAAAGATATGTTAAAACAGTTAGGTGGAGGGTGATATTTCTTGCAGTTAGGATGGTTTTTTATGTTTTATGCAGTTAGTATGATTTTTACGTTTTATGCAGTTAGGATGAATTTTTATGTTTTACGCAGTTAGGTTTTTGTTTTTTTTATGTTTAATACTTTGAGTTACTTTTGACATGATTTAAGTTTAGAGAGAACTTGACTAACTCATAGATAGAGCACCGCCTCCTAAGCAATGAGCTATGACATTGTCTCAGTTTCGTTAATTAAGTTGAAACATAGGGCTCCATATGTGGCCTCAACAATATGCACCAAAAGCATTAACAGGGACTTCATCCATACTCAATGTGACACTGTTAATACTCAGATATTTTGCAGCTGTCCATAAAATCAGCCTTCCTGAGAGCTTCAACAGAGCTTCCTGAGAGCTTCAACAGAGTTCAGGAAACTTTACTACCAGTGGGCTTAAGAAATCTATGAGTAGAGTCAAGAAGATCTAGCATTTATTATCCTAGGCAGGAAACAATTTAATACAGATTTACATCTCACCAGCCTAATAGATGAAGAAGAGGTTCGAGGTAATTTTATCAAGGCACTATCTCTTGCCTTTACTCAACCAAGAGTCTTAAAGCAGAGGTTTTTTAAATTAGAGTTTGTTTATGCCTTAAAAAGCACTTACTAGCAGGTACTGGGTTACATGATACCATTAGCATTACTTCCTGCTAACAGCACCTTAAAACATTAGGCATGATATTTCGGAAATGTGTTAGAAAAAATATTACATCTAACAAATACTAGGTGAGCATAGATTTAATGTTGGAATAACTAGTTAGTTAATGAGCTCACACTGCATTAAAACAGATTTAAACATTTTACCATTTAAACAGAACACAAATATAAAGTAACTTACAGGTGAGTAAATATTGCATCAGAGTTTCAGGCAGAACACAAACATACATATAAACATAAACATAAGAAATAGAACACAAACATACATAAAGCAACTTACGGGTGAATGAACACCTCGCCAGAGGTTCAAACAGAACACAGACACGCAAAAGTAACTTACAGGTGAGTCAACACTGCCAGAGGTATAATACATAACAACACTGTGCCAGAGGTATAATACATAACACAAACATACATAACACAAACATACTTATAAAGTAGATTACAGGTGACGCACACAGAAAACAAGTAAAAAATATATATATTATTATAGGCATGACCAATATTAAATATTACAGGAATGACAGGAAGCGAATCCCTTTCAGCCTTTGCTTAAAAAGCATATCCTATAAGATAGCAGGACATAGAACATTTTGTACTGTGTTACATGTTACAAGTAGCAGGGCAATCATAAAGGCGATAAACCTAACCTTACCATTTAAAATAATAAAATAAGTGTGGATTATCTTTTTCCAGATATATCCCAACTTCCAGATATTTCTTTTAACTGTTAATTTTTCTAGATTTCCGGAAAGTTTTTATAAAGACAAATTTAAATACATTTTTGTAAATATAAACAAATATTTTTAATTTTTAAATCATTCCTATACAAAAAACAAAAAAGGCTTCAAAAATTGCTTAAAATTCTGTAAATAAACTTTGGATTTTTTTCAAATTTTTTTCAGGATTTTTCAAATATTACCTGGATGATTATTATAATATATAATATTCAATTTTTGTTTTTTTTCTTTATTTAGATTTGGAAGTACACCATTTCATTCAGATATAAAAGGTAAAGAATTTTTTTCAGTATGGTACACTTGGACTAAAATTTATTGATCTGTCTTAGATCAAGCTCAAGCCTGTATCTATTTTTTGCTAAATAAAAAATATATGTGTTTTAGAAAATAGTTTGTTTATTTTACCTTTTAGCTGGTTTTTCAATTTTTTTTAACTTGAATTTTATTTATAAATTTTTTAAAGATTTTGTATTTGTCTCTAAAATGTCCTTAATGAGTTAAAAAAAATAGTAAATATAATTTTTAATATATTTTATTAACACCAAACTTATTTCCATAGCCAAACCTCAAATTTTTTTCATTTTCCAGTTTAAAATTGTTTTTAAAAAAATTTAAATTTTAATGTTTGTTTTATATTAGTTTTATATTATTTTTTAGTTCTTGATAAAGAATTAAGCAATACTTGTAAAAACCCAAAAGGTATAGAGTTTATGTATAGTATTAGACTAGAGATAGTATTAGGCAAATTAAATATATAATGTTACAAGATTTTACAAAATGTTTTGTCCATTGTAAATTATTTATTGTTTATTAATAAATTTTTTTTCGGCCGAGTCCAAATATATAAAAAGATT